TTATAGTGAATATGGAACAATTGTTAATGATTTTCGTTATGGTTTAAATATCATAACTGATAATAATAATAAACAAGAGAATGAGAGTTTACCAAAATGTTATTGTTTAACTAAATCATATTATCATTCATCTTGGGATGGATCTGCTCAAATTGAACAAGGAACAGTAATCAAAATTGGCTGTCATGATTTTCTTTTTTACCGGCATATTGTCCGATAATACAAATCAATAAGAATTTGTTATTATTTTATTGTATATAGTTTCGTTCTGTTTTTTTTTCTTGCCTACAAGCTGGGCGATGAAAACACTAAAATAATCTTGATGATGAAGAAAAACCAAAACAAAAAAACATTTGTATTCATCCTTTTTTTTTTATTTTTCTGTTTGTTTTTCTATGGCGTATATTATTATATACATATATTATATATAGATATATAAATAGCTTAGTGCAGAGATCGCGATTCGTGTTTTCATTGTCTATTTTTTGTAGGTTAAAAAGTATTGTTTTTTCTCTTCTTTATGTCACATGTAAAAGTAAAAAAACGATGCGTGATTTGGTCTACAATCAGAAAAAAAAGATATTTGTTTTTTCAAATATTAATTTTTAGGATTCCTATCCATCAAAAACAACAAGGTTTATTCAAGTTAATAAATGATTGCTATAAGAATGGAAACAATTTGTTAAGTAAAATATATCAGTGATTATTCTTAACAAATAGTCACTTTGTAATAAATGAATAATCGATTATTAAATCGCCTTCTGAAAAGAGTCAATGTTCGTCAGAAAAATCGAAAGTCAGATAAATACATGGAATGATAGGTCGATGTATGATCTTTCGTAAACGACATGATGTTTTATTTGACGCTTTTTTTTGCGAAAATTTCATGAGTTCCATCATCATCTACTCAAAAAATATAATGCTTTCAGAACAAGTGAGAAATACTTTTCGTTTTTTCTCTGTTTGTGCGTTTTTGATCTTGCATCCGAGAATTCTCTAAGAAATTTGTATCGTACTGCTCTTTTTGTTTTCAAGAGCATGTGAGGCTAAGTGTCCTTTTTTGAATTAAGCCTTTTTATGATGATATAAATAAATGCACTTCTATTAATTGATGATCACTTTTCGAAGCAGAGAATTTGTCGTCTTGTTTCTTTCCATAAAAAGCAAGAATTTAAAAAAACAGGTGTATGCCAAGCACTGAAGTCTGTCATACTTTTTGAAATAAAAGTGCAGTTTTGTACTTCTGAAGTTTAATTTTTATTCAAACATATCTATATGTCATTATTTATCATCATCGATTAATAGGAATAAAATATCTTTAAAGATAAATATATTTTTGGTAGCATCCTGTGATGCAACAACGAGAGTGTGCATGTGAGTTTTATTTTCGGTATCATCCAAACTCATACATCTCTTATTTTTGTACTATTAAAAAAAAGATCAGTAGGCATAATTATTCAATTTTCTAAAAATTACAATATTTAAGTTTTTCATTTCTATGCAAGGTTCAAGCAAAAGATTGAGTTGTAGAGTAGAAATTTTCCTGAAAATAGTTCTAAATTTTTGAACTATGATCGAGAAATTTATCTACAATTGAGATCAGCAACATTAAAGACCGTTCCACAAATTGGTACATATTGTTAGCTGCCCTATAGTGCAAAAGTATAATACCATAGCAATATTGCTGATGCAATAGTCTATTTACTTGCTTTATAGCTGAGCGCTTGTTGGACAACTATTCCAAGATCTATGAGTATCAGAGGTCCACTATTTGGTTTCATTCTTTCGATTTTAATCGTGATTATTGTATATCAAAGCTTGCCTTCTTAGTGGATTGGTACCACCGACGGAACTTTAACATTCATGACAGGTTGGTTTTTGGAGATACTAACGATTGCCTATCTGCGAATCAAGATTGGCAATCTCATCAAAATAGAGTGGTCAAATATTAAAGGCATGGCTGTAGAATAGGACTTAAGATTCAGCATTATTCGTCTTCTGAGAATATCTACAGATTACAAAATTGTTTACAAGTAACGTGTGAATAAATCAAACAAAATTTACCAAAACACTAACAAGAATTAGAAAAGTTTCCTTAAAATTGTGAAGAACACATTCTACAGTGAACGTTAATAAGCAACACTTTAGACAATAAAATCCTCGAGTTTCAGATTGATATGGCTCTATTGTAGTGAGATTAGAAAATCTCAAGAAAATTTTGATTGGTCAAAGTAAAAGAGTTGATATCGAAATTTGTTTTTTTTTTTTATCTTTTTATAGTATTGATCATAATAAATTTATACTCGCACTTTTCTCTTTATGTTTATCATATTAACAAAATACTTTTGAAAATAGTTATTGTTGACAATCTTAATGTTTCATTTGTTTTATATGAAAACTTTATTGATAATAATCTTTAACTTATTACTCATCAGTTCACAATGTTATTGATCGAACTTTTTTTTCATTTAATTCAGCGGCGGTACAACTTGTATAGAAAAATCAGAATTCAAGATTTGTCTCCTCAATCAGCACGAACATGATTGTTTTTTCCAATTGTTCTATTCATATTGTTAACAATTACTTATCTCATACTCAAGTTGTTTTTGATCTTTCTCTCTACATATATTCTTTCTATTCTTATCATAAATAGTCTTTAAAGAAAGAAAAACAATAGCAAAAAACATAGTTGTCATTATCATCATCATCGTCATCTACTTGTTGCACTTTCTTTTGCCCGCAAGATATCAATGTAGTAAGTCACTCGCTCTAATCTTATGCTCGTGCATGCGGATCAATGCACTATTGAGTAGGTTGTTTGCCGTTCCACTACTCTTTTTTTTTCGACTTGTTCTCTGTAATCAACGTCATATGGCTTGAGGTCATTATTTGTCTCTGATCTATTCGGCATAGTTCAGCCGTCGCTCACTATTTCTAATTGTCTCAGATAAACAATAGAAAAAAATTTCAGTATAAAAGAAAGACAAATTTTCATTTTTTTTTTTTTTTTGTTTTTAATCAAATCACCATACGGCACATTTTCCTCTTCGCACCTCAGCATGTCAATGAAGAGAAAGTGAGAAGATATGCGTAATCAGAGTAGTTTCACGTGTCATCGATAAAGAGTGTGGTCAAGTAGATTCATACACATTCCATTATAATAAGAATATTATGTTTTTTTTCTTTATTATATCGAAAGTTGATAGTCATTGATTATTAACAAGCGTGAAATGAAGACTCTTATTCTCAAAAACAAAAAAACAAAAATGATTCCTGCTGTGAGAACTCAACTAAATGGCCTGTCTACACGAATGTGTCTGTATATCTCACTTAAACAATAGGCGAGAGAAGTTAGTAGCTTTTTTTTTTTTACTGTAACTTTTTTTCTGGCATTGTATGAGTGAAAGGTGTGGCACCGGATGGATGTCTGATTGTGAATGCAGGTGTAAATAAATCTATAACATGCTGTGTCTACTATTCAATATTGTATTTCCTGTACAATTGTTCGTTCATTGTTGGATGGCGATGAGTAGGTGGCACAAGACATCGCGTGTTTATAGAACGAGAAAATCTGCTCGACATACTATTCAAATGTGAGAACAATAGTAATCGAAAGAGATTCTAATCTTTATTATCATTGTGTTGTTCTCGATTTGATTATTTCTCTAGATGTATATATGTTTAGATTGCGGAAGAGAAAGGAGGAGAAACTTATTCATATAGAATGAAAATATTAAGCACGTATCCCTAATAACTAAATAATAGAGACGATTATAAAGATAATCATATTCAGAGAAATTGAATCAGATATATAAGTAAAAGAACATTTTACATATTGCTATTATATAAAGTCCTGCATTCACAAGTGCTCTAGATCTTTTCATTTATTAAGAATAGAAATTCTCGAAGTAGGTACTCCTTCAGATAAATAATATAACTGTATCCACACTCTTTGATGTCTCCTCCTGTCAATTAATACATAGGATATCGTTGATAGTTAACACGATTATACTGTCCATTGATTATTTCGAAGAAGAAATATCAACAAATGACAAAACGAGATCGATATTTAACTTTTAATAAATGTTAAAAGCATCTCCATTCAGCAGCTTTCAATCTATCAAAACATAGCCACAATTGAATTAAACATTCATTTATTAAACATGTTTTTTATTCGCAAATGTAGTTGTGAGTGTAGATGTTGATAAGGTCTTTTCTGCAACTAAGCACAATCTTGCATGCTTAATTCGAATAAATTTTTTATGCAATCAATAGACAGTAAATCATTCTTCGTCTTTTTGGTGATCTACAGATACATTTGTAGACTATTCGATTATTGTCAAGTGGTGATCATCTCGACGAGATTATCCAAAAAAAAAATTATTTCAACTTCATTGAATATCGTTTTTTTCTTACGTGTGACCAACACACTTGTTGAACATTCTTATTACTATAGTCGATGATGATAATCTCTTTTTCTCTGTCTACGGTTAGTTGCATTATTGCTGATCGATGTAAAATGAAAGATTATGACGTCGATCAAATAAAATAGACATCGAACAGTTATATGCCAGAAGGCGTTTCTTTCTTTTTTTTTTTTTCAAGAAAACAAATTGTTCCCACCATGTTAAAAAGAAAAGTGATTTATTTCGTGTTGATCATCAATTTCTTATCTTTTTCTTTGAATGTATTTAATCGTATGATGCAACGGTTATCCTAATTGTTTTGAAAAAAGCAACAACAAAAAAAAAAGACTATATTCCGCTCTATAATTTTATAGATAGATGAACACACGACGTATTCTTTAGCTGTATGCGAACGGTCATCGAAAAAATAAAAATTTTTCTCCAATCAATCAACATTCCATTTTCTTTTTCCTATCAAAAAAAAAAAAAGAAATTTTTTTCCTTTCCCTTTTCTCTTTCGTTCTTATCGATCGTTTGTTTCTCATTTTTCCATTTCAATCAACAACACATAACACATTCATTTAATTCAACAGAATGACAACAAAAACGACCATTACCTTATCACCAATAAAACGTTGTAATACGTCACCTAATTTACAAAAACGTCGTATTACATCAATCTTAACACATCGTAAATATCAAACAAATTTATCATTACCTATATCAAATATGATTTCCTCGCCAACAACAACAATTACTGTTAGTTGTGAACGAAAAAATTTATCAACAAATAATTTACCTGATCTTGTTAATGATATATTAATTGATCAACAACGACGAGAAACTATTACTAATATTGCACTTACATTAAGAAAAATAAGTGATCAAATCGACGAACAAATACAAGTAATAATAAAATCTTATTGATTCTATAATAAATATATTTATTGGAGAATTTTTTTAATGTTTAGATTAATGACAGTTTATTTTCAGATCACATATTTGGCCAACGAACCATGACATTTATTTATTGTTTATCACGCGTTCTATGTTTCTTCTTATAATCATTTAAAATAAAATGTTGTTCATTGGCCCCGGTTGTTCTATTATGGTGCTTTATATCGCACTATACACGTACATAGCATCTGTTTTTTTTCTTTGTGCTTCTAATATTTATTTTTTTTTTCAAAAATATACATGCTAATATTACATAAACATTTTTCCTTGATCTTATCGAAAGTTTTATCAAATTGGATTGTCTATAATATGTTTACGAATTAAACATTTAATCTTGTAACGAAAAAAAAAAAAAAACTCATTTGTCACCTTTCAACAGGAAGAAAAAAAATTCAAGAATTTTAATTCGATCAACAAGTATATACATACATACTTGTTGACATTGACTTATCACTTTTCTATAAGTGACACACGAGCATTGATTGACACGAACATATTTACAAATACATATTTTGTTTTTCTTCAAATGTGTCAAATATAATAATCATTATCCATATTGATTAGGTCACTGAAGCAATGGTCAAGTATTGCTCATCATCACCTTTTTTTCGTATTAAGTCAAGTAGCATTTGTCTGCTAAATAATCAACCATAACAAATATCATATAAACCGCTTTTTTTTGTCTCTTTGTCTTTGAAAAGTGAAACTCTTGAATTCCGTCAGTTAGAACACGACTACTATAGAAGATTATTGCCGGTATTCTTTTTGATCACTACATTTGATAAGTGTCTTATATTCATTGACATATCAATTTCATTGCAGTTGTGATCCCATACACTTCGTTTATTTTCTATGATAGCGGCAATGGGTGGTTTCCTTCTCTTTTACGATATTCTTTTTTGTGTTGTTGTTATATTAACCACAACATTAGAAACTTTGATGTGCTACTATTGTTTTGATCTTATTGTTAATGGAAGGAAATCGAAAGTGACACGTGCGTTTTGGATTTCATTTGGTTTTATTTTTTAGAAAAGACAAAAACATGACAGTAAAGGTCAATGAATAGATAATTGAAAATAAATGACATTTTATCGAATCAAAGAAACAAGAGATCAATATAGTTAGTCCTCGACTAGAAAAATTTTTGTTAGAGTTCCAGCATTTGTATTGTTCATCAATCTTCCAAAAAGGCGTGAAAAAGATAGAAAAGAAAATTAATACATTTAAGGTATACGTAAAGTAAAGGCAGAAGTGCTTTAATTTCTTATAAAAAACTTTAAAGATTTCTCTCTATATGGATTGATAGTACAAGCGACGGGTTATTATAGCATTCTTCAACTGATATGATAATAATACTATTTGAATAAGATCTGTTTGATTATGATATATGACGAGTACATTAATTCATATGGTCTTCGATCTACATTAGTTTCTTTATTCTTCTGTCTTACAATGCATAGCTGTCTGTATATATTAGGATATACAACAAACAGCGACGACGGAACAAAAGCGAAATACATCGACAAGTAGCTCATGTTTTGTCCTCAATGTCTTATTGACATTTACAAAGTTATTTCCATCATCTTTCAATTGTCCTAACAGAAGGAGCATCATCACCATAAACAGAGTATAATTCATTATGAATAGCTCTTGTTTGTATATCAAGTGTAGTGCACATTTTATTGTAGAAGCGAAAATTTTCCTTATTCATGTAAAATAGAGATGAACAGCGTCAAAGTTTTACATAAGTTTATATCTTAAATTGCTTGAGAACGCGCTAATAATATACAGATGCAAACAAGTCATGCGTTTTTATACGTATGAGTGTAGACGGATAACATAAAATGAGACGAGAATAACAAAGAGAATATATATCGAAGACAATATGAATGATTTTAACTGTCACACATCATAACCAAACAGGCTCTATTGAAATTTTATTATTATGATGCTAGTTGAAGAATGATATATTTAGCGCAAAAAATTAACGCCTCGTTTGTAATATCAGTCCAGAAAGAAAGAAAGAGAGAAAGTTTCTTTAAACTTTTTACAAGAAACTAAAGTATCTCAGCTACTTCTTTTTGTATAGTCTATGTAATTATCAACTTGACAATCATTCACTAATATAATTGGTTTTATTCAGCAAAAGTGATCATTTTTCCGTGTTTCACGTGTTCAATACGGTTGTATTCCGAGGTCGCTAGTATTGAGATCTTAATGACTGAGCGTAAAAAATCCAATAATATGAAGGGAAAACCTTTCAAAATTGGGAAGGGAACTCCTGTGCATATATCTCTCCATTTGTAAACAGTGTGATCAATCTGTATATAATTAATAAAGTGTGCTCGATGCCTTACGGCATTGATCCGTATAGATGATGTATTTGTCAATTGATTAAATAATTAAACAAAACATGTTTGTTTTGTCGTTAATCGATTTATATCTTATCCCATGCAATAGAAAACATTATCGATACATGCACATACGACACGTATCAAGTTGATCATCCGATTACCTCATATATACATATATGTATGTGTTGCTAGTGAATACATAATTGAAAATTGGCTTGCATTCAACACTTAGGTGTCAAATGTCATGCTGAGTTAGAGAGGCGGAGAACAATTCATTTTCAATGTGACTCTTATGCACCTGTTTGTTTTTTTCCTATTATGGTAAAATTAACTAGTTTTAATAGTTGTATGTTTGCTCTTTTCTTCTACATATTTCATTGAGAAAATGAATGATGAATATTGATGATAAAATCTAATCAAGTGAGCATAAAGAAGAGAGAGAATAACATAAGCTGATTAACATATAAATTATGAGTATGGCTACAGTATACGTATTGATTGGATTCTATGTTGTCAAATCAATGATATTTGCCTAATGAATAAAAAACTTCAGAGGTGGTTTCTGATTTATGAAAATATTCATTAAATTAGATATTTAGTTTTTATGTATGAAAAGTCCGTTTTCTTATTAACAGATCGGTAGAAATGTAAAAGAATGATTAAGCTTTCGTATACTAAGGATGCTTCAAAAGTCATTTTACCATAAAAAAATTAAATAACACAATCATACTTTGACTAAGTGGGATGATTTTTTGCTGCTGTTGACTTTAGAAACGATAGCGAGATAATCACCACAAGAAAATTTCCTTTGAATTACATAAAAGGGGTAATATTCAATTTTTTTCTCGACATAGTGAATTTTGAGCAATCCTATTTTGTAAAAATATATTAGGAGGATTACAATTTTTCAAGTTCGACTAATACTTTTGTACTAATCAACATAAAAAAGTCAATAAATGTTGTTGTTAAAATGAAAGTTTAAGAGAGGGTCCGCCAGAATACCGACCAAGCTCCTAGAGGACCGGCCGCCGCTAAAATTTTTTTTTTGATTTTTTTTTACCGCAAACGAAAGATCATATAGAGAAACCTATCAATCCAAAATATCACGTTTTTCTGACGTCCTTGTGAAAAATGCCGAAGATCACAATGGTCAATTTTTTATGTTTGGACCATAAAAATTTTTAAAAATGGTTTTTTTCACATTTTGATGGTATTTTGAGATTTTCTCTGCCTTTGTTCATCGCTGTAAGTTGGGAGAGGTCTCAAAAGATGCAGAAAAGAATTTTCTACTAAATGACCTATTTCAATAGTCATTAGAATGGATTTTTATAATTGATTGTGCTTCCAAAAGAGAGGAGAGGTCTATGGTTTATAGTCGTCGCTTAGCTAGTCATTTGCCTCTAGTCTCGTCGAATGGTTCCATCCAAAACAATTGAATCCAGTTTCTGAAAGCCCTTGAAATTCTGCATCTTTTGGTATATTACTCAATGTGTAAACAGACGGCCCTCGATTTTTAGTAGGGACCACAATTGGTGCACTATGATGGTCCTTTACAGAGACCGAAAACGAGTCGAGTCGAGTCGAATTTGACCCCAACGATTCGACTTTTTAAAAATTTCTTCATAATTCTATCATTTGTTTTTCAATATTAGTCATCGTCATCGTTAGACGAACTGAGATGAGACAATGTCAATTCATTTCAATGAATAGGTTGAACAAAGCATTAAAATCAATAGACAGCGATGAACTGACGACGCTAAATAAACTACAATGAATGATATACACTAGCTTTCATTGTATTCAATGCATTATTGACTGTTCAAAGATTAATTAGAATGCAATGACTTGATTGATCGTCAGCCTATGTAAGTGATCGGCATGCGACGTGCAACAGATTTAGTTGTGTATTGCATTATTTCATTATCTATCGCAAAAAGATGATCAAAACAGAATGGATGTTTATATGATCAAATATTTGATCATATTTAGAATATTGAAATCGATGAAATATGTTAACCACTCCATCCAATAGGACCGTTTCGAATAGTCTTGGAACATTTATGGGGAGAAGAAATCGGCTTGCAGTATTGCCGAAATCGCGCAAGAAAATGATTCAGAATTATTCGAGACGATAATTCCAAGCTCTGAAACCGAGTAGAAAACTTGTAGAAAATTTCTGTTTCTGACAGAGAACCTC